GCAAGGATTGTAAAACATATCCGACCAGAAAACACAGACCGAATGAAGTCCTCAGTTCCAGGGCGATCCGGATCCAGCCTTCTAGGGATGGAATCTCCTCTGACTACTTCTGATCAGAGTGGAAGGAATCGAAATCGTTCAGAAATCCAATACCGCGTTCACTACATGGGCTGGAACTGTCGTCACGATGAGATTGTGCCTAGACAACGCATTATGTAAGTCGTTCAGTCAATCCTGACCTCTCAGTGGTGCTATCACAGTATCATTATTTCTTTCTGTGTCCACCGTGTTACTTTGCGTCCCTTTCCCGACAGATTCTGATTACCTCGCTTCTCTGCAGTACTTGATTAGTAGGCCAATTGCTAAACAGATGAGCATTGTTCTCTACTCACTTAGAATTTTTAAAACCAACAGACAAGTTCTAAAACGAGCACCAACTCCGGGTGTTTCTCGATCGCCCTCGTTCTCCACTCTGAACCTCCTTCCTAGTCGGGCGGCCTCCCTACCGGACTCTTCCAGAACTCCAACGGAGATCGGCCAGTCTGGGACCGCTGGTGGCCGAGAGGTTTCAACCACACCTGAAGTCAGTGGCCGCGATGAGGAGGGGGAGGAGGACGAGAACGTTGACTATGAGGATGTTTACAGCAGCGCCGGACGTAGACGCGACAGTAGCCACATTGACGATACGGCCTCTGACAACGTTACCACCACTGCACCAACTGTCAGGCGCGGGATTTCGGCGAATAGAATTCCCGGTTCTCCAATAGGTACAAAAAGAAGAAGGTCTCCGTCTGCCTATTCGGACATTGGGGTCACCTGTCACAAGACCCCAAAACTTGAGGATCTTAAGGGTAGGCACACTTCGGATGACCATGTAAACCCAATAACGCACAGGCTTACACAAAATTAGCCTCTAATATTGCCGATTTCATATCCGCCTTACATGCAAACACACTCGAACCAAATAAGGTCAATTTAGGGCAGAAAATCTCGTCCTTGAATGGCATGTCTTTTCGCAATTTGGTTTGTTAAAGCTTATCGAAGGACACCAGTTTACTAGCCCACAATGGCCAACTAGCAAACCTGTAATTGGTGGCCTCGTTTCGGTGCACACTGTTTTCCTTTTCTTTGATTGGTTTATTTTGTGAGGAAGTGAGATTTGTTTTTTGTTTTAGATGCAAATTCATTTGACCCTTTAAAGACTTCTTACTATCCGCCAGAAGAAACCTGACAACACCGAGTCGGTTTAGCCTGTGCTACCTGTGCTGCTAGTATAGTAAATGACAACATAAAGTTATACTACCATCTGCCCGTTGGCAGCATGTGTATATTACGCAGTTATCCTGAAGTAGCTGATGAAGATTGGCCCAAATTTATGCATCGAATTTCGGTCTGTGCCTATAGACCGTAAATAAACTGATCTAGACCGAGCACAGAAACTAATACTGAGGAAATTAGAAATCTGAAATATTCTCACTCTCAGCCGACGTGACATTACACCGTATCGGGATTCTGATGACATTGCTGGATAACCACTTGACGTGGGTTGAAGCCTTGCGCGGACAACCTTCAATCGGCTTATTACTGACTGCCAACGTCAAATAAGTCAGAAGTGGCCATGGGGATGCCAGCATACATGGGGTTCCAGAAAGTAATTAAGTAGCAGTAGACGCGATTGTCGTCCGTCATCCTAGACGCCATTAAAGAAGAAACGTCTGGAGTCGTTCTTGGGTCTGGTCCAATTACCGGCAAAGCAGGTCAGGTCAAGTTTATTAAGGGAAATATAGGCAAACACCTTTGAACTCTCTCTCTCTTGGTACACAGCAATGAAGAACTGCGTCGGTGCAGCAGAACATTTCAGAAGAGTTCTTTTACGTACTTGCAGGTTAAAGTCGTATAGTTTGGAAACGTAAGCGTACACGACTACTCACTTGTTCCAAGTAATATAATCACACGTGGAGATGTCAGTTAACACGAACCAGTAGGTGTAACTGAGCAAAAAGAACAGAAAGTGAAAAAATCCTAAGGCATAGCTCAGAAATTCTAGAAGTTGGAATGTAATTTGTGGGATTTTTAGGAGCAAAAACTGTCGTTCGCGGGAGGAAAGTGTGTGCGAGATAGGATCGGCGTGCTACTGAGGATGCTTGCGGCAAGCAAATACACTTTGGGCACTAACTCAAGCAAAATACCGCAATTTGTGAAAAATCTATAGTTACTTGCAAGCTGGCATTACAATCTATACAAAAACTTTGAAATACTAATGAACACGCTTCAACAAATTTATAATTTAAAAGAAGTGGCAAAAGTACTAATTGCTTCTTTGAAAATACCAACTTGTTTTTAAAGAAGCCTACATTTCCGAAAACGCAAGAAATGGCTGTAACTTTGACCAATAAGTGCAAAAATTATTGTCAAATGAAATAGTAATCATAACATGTTCTCTGGATTAAATAAAAACTTTTCTTTCTTCAAATTTCTTTATAGATATTTCAGGTATTGGATTACAAGTACTTTTAGATCGTCCTTTAAATACCGGCCTCTTTTTCACGATTTTCAGTGTTTTCAAGCTTTCATTCGTAGGTGTTGATGCTGTTCGACGTGTTTATCAGAGCCTTCAAAATAGAATATTTCTTAAAAACATTTACCAAAAACGTGATTTTTGCATATTAGTTCTTATAAAGATGGCCATTTTGGCATACAGCGTCTCGAAAACGCCAAAACTCCTTGCCGAGCGAAAGAACGTTCTTCACAAAAGTCCGATCTTTTTATGTTTTAAGTCAATCAAACGACTTTCTATAATAAGTTGCTTCTTTGAAAAGAATTTTACTTAGATACTTGGCTGAGTAATATCTGTGAATGTTACCTTTTTCGAAGGCAATTTCAAAGTTAAAATGGGGGAATTCTAAGCAGTTTGTTTTTGATTCACCTAAAGGCAAATGATAGAATTTGGACTGGAAATGAAAGAACTCAATTTAAGGCGTTTTTCACTATAGCTGATTATTTGTAGGCCTTCTTCTAAAATTGCAGAAGCACCAAAGAGTGGCAAATGCATATGAAAATTATGCGCAAACGGTTAACCTGTCTGCTTAGTTTCTAATTCACGCACTAGCCGAAGCTTTATTGTCCAAATAGTATATTGCCACTTGCCTTGCATTTTCCAGAGTTGTTTTCACTATCTATGTGCAGAATAAAGCATAAACATTTTTGTTGATGGTCCCGACACAAAATACAGTCAAAATATTTTTTTCTGCGTCTTCTGACGAAAAACTTCAGAGGTCGGCTAAAAATATAATTTTTAAAATCGAAGTCGTTCCTTGTTTTTGAAAAACAATGCGGTTCCTTGTACTTATCTTCACCAGATTTTCATCAAATTAAGACTAGATTATATGGTTCTAGAAGGGATATACAGTAGTCGTCGGCTATTAAGCCCACCTCGGGCCCAGACCAAATTGGG